CATGTGAACGGTATTCACATCTGGTTCTATGTTTTCAATGGTTTGTGTAAATCAAATCTTATAATTTTTTTTGTCATTATGATATTCTAAGTATATATTTAATCTTGCACATAGGGTATTTGACGCAATGTCTCACCGAGTTATTTGTTTAAGTTTTGTTGTTTGAAACAAAGATATTAATGGCTAAATGAAGTTGCTTGTGAAGGTGTATAAAACTTTTTCTAAGTTTCGATAAGTGTGACTACAGTTTTACAAAACGACCTCATAATGAGGTCTATGATGCCTGTATACTAATTGAAGCTTGGGGATGGGTTAATTTTAGAGATTTAGGTATTGAGTTCCATCTTCATGGATTTGATAGATGATTTTGACTAATAAATGAATTCATGGATTAATCCAAGTACTATAATGGGAAACTACAATTATGATCATATTTGATTTTTATTATTTGGAGTTTCTTATCTTATATATTATGAATGCCTAACAAAACTAACTTGGTTTCTTTTTGTTAGCCTAATTATGTCGTCAGAAAACTTTTACACATCGTTCCCGAGTTTAACAAAAGAAAAGAAAAGAAGAGAAAAGAAAATCATGAGATAAAAGAAGAGAAAGGAAAGGAAAATAAAATTTTCTTTTGTATTCCCGTGTTGAAGAGAAGTGGAAAGAAAATGAATCATTTTCTTCTTGCTTTCCAAATCCTCCCAAATCGGAAGGAAAGTTAGGAAGGAAAGTGATCCTCCCATTTCCCTTCACTTCCCTCTTTTAATGAAACTTGGGAACACCAATTTCTTTTATTTTCTTCTCATTTCCACTCATTTCCTTTCCTTTCTCTCGTTAAGTTGAACTCGGGAACGGGGTGTTAGTGGAAATTAGATAGAAAGATATAGTGGTTATGTTGGTCTCCTATAACGGGTAATGTTTGATTAGCTTTGTATATCTTGAATCCCTACTATAACAACTTGCACTACCATTGGTGGCTTGATTTTAATCGCAAAAAAACATTGGAAAAGTGATAAAAATATTTTTCCATATGGATAAGAAAACTTTTCTTTCGTTGATTCATCTCAATTTACAAAATTATGTTGATTAAACATTTCGCCATCTTTGTATTTTGTTAAAAAAAAATATGCTAATTTTTAGAAAATTATTATATCGTATGGAAACCACATTACAATTTACTTTCTTGTCAATCATTTAGGAAAAAGTGATAAAAGATTATGTCAATGCGATAAATCAAATTTTCTTTCTTTCCATCCTTTATGACCATTAGATTCTATCAAGTTTTTTTTAATCAAATTCACTAGGTACTTAAACTGTTAATGACAAATTTTACCATCCTAACCTTCAGGGTAAGGTGATTGGCCGATTGCCAGAGATGGAAATCAACAAGAGGAATTGATGGTAAAATGGTAGACAACTAATATTTCAAGGATGAGTGTGAAAGTAAGTTTCTTGTAACATTTTCATTTACAAAATAAAAATGATTATGAAGTTTAAATCTAAAAGTTTATTTTATTTTATTTTTTTAGGTTATTGAATTCCTTTTTAGTTGTTTTTATGTCAATTTATTTGATGTTATCTTGCAATCATTTAGAGCAGAGTGAGAAACATATCCTTATGAAAGACTTTTACACAACTTTTTTAATAAATATATATTGAGTTTTGATGATGATTTAGACAATATCACTTGACTTTTCTGATGTTGGAAAGAGATATCAATTATTCCAGGTATAGATAAACCCAAAGTGATCGATTTCAAAAGCATGACAACAATTTATTCCTAATATAATTTTTCTAATTCAAATAAATTACAAAAATGTTGTGCTTTGAAATGAAATTAAAAAGAAATCGAAGTATAAAATTTTATAAATTTATGCTTTTAACGCATCAAATAACCAATGAATTGTTTTACACTGATGACATACGGTAAACCTTTTTGTTTCTGACTATTCTTTGTTTTCTTTTTGTTGTTATTTGGTCATATGATTTTTGTTTATGAGAGTACTTTTTTATGAATATTACTTTTTATAGGATTGGAATGGACTCTTTTGAATAAAAGCAATGGAATTGGTGATATGTTTATTTTTACGTTGAAACCTTGCAACTTTATTAACAAAAGCTAGAAATTATCAAACTACAACACCTGGATCACTCTAAAGAGATTATTACTTATATGGTTTTATGGACAAATGATGTATGAATAACATGTTTGTCCAGAGTTAGTGGAGAGTTGCAAAGGTGGAATAAAATCAAGTTGTTTCATTCCTTAAACATAAAATGAGATATTTTGTATAGTTAATATCACTACCTTTTACCTTTTGGACTAAAAAAAGGATATTGGGGCACAAAACTTTGAAAACTCCTAAAAAAATTCCCAACACTCAAATGAACACACCCATTAAAAAAAGTAAAAAGTGCTTTATATTTTACTGAATTTTAATAAAAGTTTCCTATATATTTTATGCAAATACCAACAACCGGTTTCTTTCATGTTGATCCTCATCGTTGAAATCTTGCAATTGGCTCGGATGAATCATTAATCATTAATCTACTATGATTTTTGTATGATAAGGGGATTAAATCCTTGACGAGAGAAAGATTGATAGATCGCTTTATGCAATTTATGAAAAAGTTGCAAAAAAATGTATGGTTTTTTTTCTTATAATAGAAAGTTAGGACACCATTGGAGCACTTCAACCCATTGGAGATGTCATAAATATGCCAAAGTTGAGAGAGGAAGTGTGAGAAGAATAACTAAAGCTCTGTAGACAAAGCATCTGTGGTTATTAGGTATGTATCGTATGTAGTTTTTAATTTATATTCATATCATTAAGCCGTTATTAGATGCTTAATCTATTGAGACAATTCTTTTTATAATGATTGTGTACTATTAAAGTTTATAATCTAGAAGCTTTGAGATTTTTTTTACATATAGAAGGTTAATTATCAAAACATAATACACCCACTTCCAAGAATTTAAAAAAATTATATATTTTTTAAAATATATAATTTGTGAAAAGATTGCAAATATAATGATGTGAGTATTTATTATATGTTTTTTAAGCTATAAAATTTATGAAACGGTGTTTCCCATTTCCCTCTTTGAACAAAGAAACTTCAAGGATAAAGATGTATTTGGAAAGACTGTTATCATTCACATGTATCATATTATGTTGTTCAACTATAAAGATAGAAATATACCTAAATCCATAAATTTATAATTTGTTTAGTATTACAAATATGTAATACTATCATCGACATCTGAGAATGATAAATGAATATTGTTATATTTTTGGAATCCAAAAACATGTAATCGTTGGTTGATATCGATTATATGCACTATTGTTGTATAAGGTAATTGCAATAAATAACAACATACTTTATTGAGTTGTTTATTATGGGATCCAACTTTTGTTTTTTTTCCAGCATTCTACTTTAGAAAATTTATTGAATAATAGCAATGTCATCTAAATACATAGCAATTTCAGTGCAATAACTTGGTGGATTTCTCAAAGTAGAGAGCCCTAATATGAAAAGAATTTGAAAGTATAGTGCTATTAGTTAAAGGGTAAAATTTTCATAATACAATATCTTAATAAGAAAATTTTGAAAGTATAATGCTTTAATTGACCAAGTTATTGAAAATATAGTGCTTTTAATCTATCATTTTTATATAGATGAAAAGTTGTTGATATTTCTTGCGTTTAACCATTGTATACATGTATGTTATTATGACTTTGTTTACCGTGTTTGATACTTTTGTTCTAGATTTGGAACTTCGGAATTTTTTAGACCTTTTGTTGAACAGTATCATAGTCTCTAAGAATAAGAGTTATGGGAAAAACTATGGTTGGTTTGATCCTATTGAAATTCTTAACTTTTACTCTTTATTAAATAACTTATTTAATCAACTCAAAGCGCTATTTTAGGATTGTATGATTATAAAACTGTGACCGAGGACTAAGGAGTAAGCCCCACAAATTATTCTATGTACTCAGATATTTATTTGTGGTTTATAAATGATTATGTATATTCTTATATTTGTAATATACACAATATTAGAAAAATAAAAGAACACACATCATACTTTCGTTATATACGTCATATTTAATTTAGATACCTTTTATGTATTTGTCAATACGTTCCTTCGCGTTTTACGCGCATTATAATCTAGTTTCATTCTAAAAGAGACGGACTCTAAAAAAGATACCAAAAAAAAAAAAAAAACTGCCTACATGGGAAAGAAAACCTACATGCAGCATAAAAGAATATTGTATTTTTTTATAATTATATATTAATTTTAGGTTGATTAAGTCGACTAAATACATCGTGGTATGTTTGCCTTTTAAACCGAAGAAACTATCCATTTAAAGAGTAACATGTTTCAAAAAAAAATCATAGCACTAGGATTACCGGATTATGTATCGTTTGTGAGGTTATATGAGCACATAAAATCATGATGTAGACCATTTGGTCCCAAAAACTAATAACTAATATTTAAAACGAATATTAAACGATTCATCTACAAAATCCATGGCCCCTACCAATCAAGACCATCGATTTGTATCAATGAACGAGATCGAATTAAGTGGTTTCCTCATATATAATTTCACATGTTGTGAACACAACTCTATACGAGAGATCACTTAGGTACCATCCTTACGCTGATGCCCTTAATTACTAGATATTTAACGTGGTAACTAAGTTGTATATATGAGACATTGATTTTTTGTAAACTAAAGAGACCACTTACTAATTATGTATATATGGCCAATTTTTAATTTTGTATCGTATACTTTATAACATGATCATCTATATATTATCAATGAAAAACCAAAAAATAATACTCATTTTATTTCTGAAACATTTACTACCTAAAAGAATAATGTTTCATATAATTATAATAATTCAAAAATATAATGCAGTGGTGTTAGCGTGGCCTGAGTGTGAAGTCTGTTTTACACGTCTCTCGCTAACCTGCACCGGTGGTGCTTGTAACCCATATATTTTGACCCTTTTCCCGAACTTTATGGGGATATATATAACCTCCGTCACTCTCATTATCTCTCTGTGTGTTATACTGTTATAAGTCTATGTGAGAGAGTGTGTGTGATCGTTGCTTGAAGAACATTCCTGTAACAATGAGTAGATCAGGAGGCGTCGTTTGGCTGAAGACGGTGGTGCTGCTGGCGGCGGCGGCAGCGATGTTAACATCCGTGAGCTGTAGAAGTACGGTGTGTCACCTGATCGGCGGGAAGGAATTGTGGAAACCGAATCATAACTACACTGATTGGTCTCTTCAACAGACGTTCTACGTCGGCGACTGGCTCCGTAAGCTTTCTGTTTCTCTGATTTACACACAGTTTTAATTTCTTTAGATCTCTTCTTCTATAACACCTCCAAATCTCCAATTAATCGATCTGTTTTGATTTTCTGTTTAAATCTCTGGTGCAGATTTCGTATACAACAAGGAGATGTTCACGGTGTTGGAGGTGAATGAAACGAGCTACAAAAACTGTTCAGATGAAGGAATTATCTTCAACGTCACCGGAGGTTTTGGAAGCGACGTGATTAAGCTCACTCAACCAAAGACATACTACTTCATTGCAAATGGAGATTACTGCTACAATAATGACATGAAAGTGGCTGTTAACGTGGTTGAAATTGTTTATGTTTATCAACCTCCGATGATGATGATGATGATGTATCTTCTTCCATTGCAAGTGATGTGTGTATTGCTTTTTCTCACAAGAAATCGTCAATGAAGAATCCAACAGTTTCAGGTACTAAATTAATCATAGTTAAATAGCTACTGATATTAATTCAGAAATTACGTAATAGTGGATTGCATACATTACAAATGTGTTAGACTTTGGAAACGTGTTATCACACTTGCCTATTATATCTTGTTTTATTGCTCGTGATGTATATCAATGTTTTCTAGATTATTCAAAATGTTTTATAGAAAAATATTACCATAATTAAATTAAAAATATATTTATTATGGAAATTATTAATGCACTTCACATGTAATTATCGTAATATTTCTTATTATTAATGTATTTTATAATTAATTATTGTAATATATATCTTCAATTAATGATTATTATATCTGCTCTAATCCTTAGGGTACATATTAGAAAATCCCAATCTTTTATATAGTAGTAAATATCAAAACAAGCTTATCAAAACATTAAAAAAAAAGTTATAATAAATGTAAAATTTCTAGTTATATTTATGAAAAATAAAACATATATAGTTTAACTTGGTAAAATTGTGAGAGAAGTCTAAATATTTTAGAAAAAGTTTCACTTTCCTTCTAAATTTTATTTTTTGAACAGAAAAATCTTAATTATTTTATTTTCGTTCAAATTCATAATTTTTTTCTTTTTAACTGGAAAGGTGTATATATATATATATATATATATATATATATATATATATATATATATATATATATATATATATATATATATATATATATACACACACTAAAGTTTTAATATTTTCAACGATTTAATAAAAAAATTTAAACTTAATTTTTTTAACAGTAAAATCCTAATTACTGATAGTTTTTAACACGTTTACATTTTTTTGCAGTTTAACCGGTAATTACGATTTTACTGTCAACAAAATAAAGTTTATGACTTTCTTGTCAAATAATGAATTATGACTTTACTGTAAAAAAATAAAGTTTAGGACTTTATTCTCGAATCGTTGAAAATATTGAAACTTTAATGTATATATTCATTTTTTTGTTAGAAATTTAATGTATGATAGTCTTTAAGTATAAGAGTTACTGGAATCTGGCCGATCTACTTTAGTCAGCTAGATCCTATTGAAATTCTTAACGTTTACTTCTTGTTAAATAATTTTTTTTTTTAATCTCAACAAACTAACATTGAAAAAAATTGAGATAATTAAGAAAGAAAGAACCAGAGTTGTGTTGGCTTTTTGCAGTCCTAAAAATAGAGAACTAAGAATATTCACACCCCTTCTTCATATTCACACCCTTTTGACTAGGCGTGTTTTGTTTGTGTTTCTATAATCTATCCCCTATTTTTAGTTTACGATTTGGCGGTGAACCAAGAAGAAAGTTTTATAAGTCTTCTCACCCTCTCTCTCTCTCTTTTATATTTGTTTCCTCTGATCCTGATTATAGCAGGGTAAAGATGATGATGGTAAGAGAAATAGTGGTGATGCAACGAAAATCTCAATTAAAAGTTCTTGGGATAGGAATTGGGTCTCAAAAGGCTGATAAAATTATTTGTGTCTCGGGAAACCAAGACTATACACTAAAATCTCAATATTTTCAACAATTTAACAAGAAAGTCCAAACTTTATTTTTTTACAGTAAAGTCCTAATTCACGATTTGATAAGAAAGTCCTAAACTTTATGTTTTTGACAGTAAAGCCCTAATTACCGTCTAACCGGTAAAAAAGGGTAAGTATGTCAAAAACTTCATTTAGTTATGATTTTACTGTCAAAAATATGAAGTTTATGATATTTTTGTCAAATTATTGAAAATATTGGGACTTTCTTGTATATATCCCAACAGGAAATTACATATTATCGTGTAAAATCAAATAATCGGGATTTTTCTATTAAAAATATAAAATTTGTGATTAAAATGAAACTTTTTCTAAAATATTGAGACTTTTATAACAATTTCCCTTTAATTTTGTTTATGTAATATATAGAAAAGCAGCATGTGTTGAATATTATATAAAATGGGAATTGGAAACACATTCTTGAGACTTGTAAAAATTAATCAAATAAAAACACTTTTAGTTAAAAAATAATGCGACGCTAATTTATATAACATGGATAAGGACTTGTAAGGGTAACGAAATTTCACCTTTAGTCACATTTAGTTACTAAATTTTTTTTATGTTTGATTTACTCTTGAATTATTTGAAATTGTTCACATTTTACCTTTATGACTAGGTTACCGGTTATAAAGGTAAAATGTAAACAATTTCAAATAATTCAAAGATAAATCAACAATAAAAAAAAGTTTAGTGATTAAATACGAACAAAATTGAAAGTTTATTACTCTTTCAAGTCATTATCCAGTTTTGTAATAATACGTTAGTTTATTTTGTCTACTGGTAGCAATTACTCGGATTAATAATTTTGATTTCATTCACTACGATTTGTTTTGTGTTGTGTTTGTAAAAAGTATTACATAATAGAATACGTACCACATAACCATGTTTTAGTTCATGACTTTAAGTACTAGTTCATGAGATAAACGCTTAACTAAAGTTTCTTTATTCATTAATAAATGAAACGTCAACTCACAAAGAAGAAATAATCAGTAGAGTTTCACAAAGGCAAAAGTACACATATACGAGCAATAAAACTAAAAATAAGAACGAAAATCAAAAGGAGAATAAGAAGAAATACATATAGAACCAACATACAAGTAGTAAAGATATATGCAAGTAATATCTAGGAAAAAAGTATCGATCTATAACGACGTCTCCGCCAACTGGAGTGTAAACCGCCACTTATGTCCTAAATATATGTCTGAAACCACCATAATTTTTTTCCTTCAGTTTCTATGTGATTGAAGTTGATTCTGTGGCATTTCTAAGTGTTGTTTTTGATATATTTAGTCATTGAACTTTTTCGTACTTGATTTTCCCTTGAATTATTTGCAACTGCTCATATTTTACTCTTATGCTCGATAACAACTGGTCATAAGGGTAAAATGTGAACAATTTCAAATAATTTAAGGGTATATCATGCACGAAAAAAAATCAATTACTAAATGTAACCAAAGTTAAAAGTTCATTACCTTTTCATGTCATTATCCATGTATAACAAGATTTAAAAGTCTTTTACCCTTATACCACAAGTATATGGGAATCATTTTTTATTTTTTGAGCAACATGTCAGTTTTCTCTCACTATTTTTCTCTTCACCAGAAAGGTAGGAAATGGTCACATTTCATTACCTTTCACTTTTATTTTATTTTTAAATAAAAATTATTGATTTTTACGATTTATAATTCAAAACATAAATATATATTTTTTATAAAATGATTAATAAACACAAAAATTAATTAAAATAAAAATACTTCATTACTTCAAATAAAAATTACATAAAAACAAACTAAGAATAAAAGACCTTAGAAAACAACCAAGATTTAAGAAAACATAACCTAGATTTAAAAAGATAAAAAAAAAAAAAAACAAAACAAAACAATCTACGAAAAATAATTTTTCATGATCTTCTCTTTCTTCTTTAAAACTAGCTCGAGGGTCAATTCTGAAAGATTATCAATGTTTTTCATCAAGAACTTCACATTCTCCATTTCTTACCTTTCCACCCATTCCTTCTTTTTTTGCTTCTTTTTCTTTGTCGAATGTTAAATGTTCAGTGAAGTTCGGATTGTATTGATCAAATGCAACGTCAGTTTCCGCATTTCGTCTATGTCCATGTTGACATCTGACGCACTATAAGAAGTCTCATTACCCTTCCGTTTTGCCTAACATTTTGGTATTGCAATTGTGGATGAGATTTGTAACATTTGGTTTTGAGGCACTTCCATTGTTGACCCTTGTATTGAGATTTATTGCATTTTTGGTCCCTCAGTGAGAAAAGATAAAGAGGCCTTAGTGGCATTTTCATAAATTCAGACCTTGAGGAGCACACGGTGCGTACGTGAATACGTTGGGCGTACTAGGGAACGCCCTAATATGCTAGGTGTACACTCGTATGCAAGGCGTACGTATCCAGATTCCAATCCCTAGTTTTTAGGGATTTGCCCATATTTAAACATCATCAAGCCCCATTTCCAACCTCCATCGCTATAACGTCTTCTCTTGCAAACCCTAGCACCATTAAGCATTTGGATGTCTTAGTGTGAGCTTTGGTGTGTTTCAAAGGAAGAATAATGTCACACCCCTAAACCAGAACGGCGGAATCGTTCGAGGGTGGATGACTTCATGTAGTATCGTAACAGTTGAATACATAATAAAGAAAGTAAACACAACAATCATAGATATAATTTAAGAGTTACATTGTTGGATGATACTTGTTTCAAAAATAAATTACAATATGATGACAAAATGAGTTTAAAACTGACATCTTAACATCACTTCTCCAAAAGCTGAAGTTTACCTATATTACTGAATCCCTAAGAAATACAAGTAGATTTGAAAGAATAGATCAACATTTAAGCTGGTGAGTTCATAAGTATTTAATGTCAATGTTTATATAAATTTGAATGAATTTCTTTGTAGATGTTTGAAAACTCCTAGAAAATCTCATATTTCCTACTAGTATAAAAGTAGTCTTCTACTAAGACCCGATTGTTTTGAACGTTGTTTCTAAAATTCCGATATTTTTCCATAAGTGTATGGTAGTTAAAAAGTTCCAAAAAACTATTATGCAATAGTGTTTTTCATGCCTAGAATAGTAGATTAATTTATGTAAAAAAAATCGCTAAGGCATTGGATAACCCTGTAAATCAACGTGTTTTTAATACTCCATATGAGTTTTATAACCATACTATTGACCCAGACTGCCTGTAACAACGTTCTTCAGGCGTTGGAATGTTATGACGTTTGTCACCCCAAACCTGCCGGTCTAACTGTAGCTAACAGTTTAGGTGCGGGATTATCAATCCCGTATAGATATATACACAAGTATCGCACTCTCCCTACAAGAGATTATGGTATATAATATAGGACTTTAACTGCATACTCGAAAGTACGTGAAGCTGAACGTCTTAGAAAACTTAGTATCGAATAGATTTACGTATGAAAAGTTCATTTGTTCTTGTATATGAAAGTGTTTCCTTGATATAGTACTTATAGTGTAAAATCTCTTGAATATCTAGTAAATTATACCTATTATAGTTTTTCTCAAATGAATGATTCGTTGT